AAGAGAGACACCAACCTGAAAATTGCATTCTATTATCACGAATTAGATGATCCAGTCAGCACTCAGCATTACAGACTTATATTTGATACTGACTGGTGACAAACCAGAGATTGACCCGTAAAGTGATAAGACTGTGATGTAAGAATCAGACATTTTGTTTCTTAAAGTAGCCAAGATGGTGCAGCCATGGGCTACGTTGTGTAGTATCAAACTACTCTGATCTCACATTGCATTGTGCACATCTGTCATCTGATGTTTCAACGATATATTTCACTAGTTGCGTTACATCAGTATCAGTTACAATCTCATGCATTTAAGAAATACAATCATGTGTGCATAGATGGATGCATGCTCAGATATTAATACGCAGTGATTAACAAATGACTTGCATTCACATGTTCTGCTGAGAATATTTGACGTCTGTAGGTATTCTGTGATTAATAACTGGAGTATTCAGAATAAGAATATGATTCTGAGGATTATTGACGAGATTTCATAAGTTCTCAGTTTAATCAACAAGCTTTAATACAAAGCCATGCATCCCACTGTCAACTAATTTTAGATGGTGAGGTAATTCGCAGAGCCATCTGGACTGGCTTCTTATAGATTTCCATAAACCTATAACTTTAGAGCTAACGATAAAGAATATTCCATTGAATTTCAATTTTTCAACCTGGACCTACTTGAGATAGACTGAATAAGACTCAGAGGGTTTCATATTTAGTTTAATGTGAATCCGCTTTAGTATTTCTTTATAACTTTGACACTGTGGTGGTATGCAATACCATAATCATCCTGTCAGTTGATTATGTTAGGAACAATAAATTGTGTTCGATATGTCATACCATTGATAAAGTATAGAATCCATTGTAAGTGATTTAGTTCAGTTCAGCCTTACTTTTCACTAGTAAGTAGCATAAACTATATAGTTTATTTGCGATGACACTATTCCATGACCACATATATTGACGTCTATTGAGAGTTATTCCATTCAACGTGACAGTATTATATTTTGTCTCTAGTAATTATCATCTTATGGTTAAACAATATCTGCTCTGTGGATTCCTGCAGTCTGCACTCCACGTCGAACATTCGAAGTTCCTTCTTTTCAGGGAACACTAAATAGTTACTAATATCATGCATCTAGTACTTCATTTGTGCAGATTGAATTCGGTCACTCAATTCGCAGTTTTGCCAACATGAGAGATGGCTCGTTATCACGATGCTTCGGAATTGTTATTAGATGGTTGGAGGAGATTGATAGGAAGCATTTGATCTCATTTGTGTGCTTATCGACATTCATCAGCATGGTGTCTTCTTGAAGGAACCCCTCTCTTGTGTGATCCGAACCTTTATCACCCAATGCTTCAGTCAAAGATATTACCAAGAAACTAGTTGGGTTCGTGTTCAACATCCTGTAGGATTTCATTCAGCCCTTAAATGGGAAAACAGATTGTAACTAATGACATGCATCTAATCCTTCATTTGATGAAAACTAACTTCACTGGTATCGTTCGGTTTCACCAGTTCTACCGATGTGTGATACTCTTTTCATGAAAAAATTGAAGACAACATTTTTTTAAACATACGGATGCCTGAAATATAGCTCAGATGATACGTGCTTACTACTTGAACAGCATCTGTACAGGTCACTCTAAGGGAGACCGAACAAATTCAAACTTCCAGCATCAAAATTTATTTTGGAAGCAGATTCATACACACGAGAGTTCTCTTTTCACAGACTCTCCACTTAAATGGGGATTAAATAAGCATTCAAGTATATGTACTGGGGATGAATACACACATTCTAATAAATATCTGCTCCTCAAACCTCCGTGCCACATCTGCTCAAAAAAATCAATTGTCTACTCTATAGAAATCAGACACGTAAGAAGAGATCGAAAGAGTGTTTCATTATTGCCACAATACAGTTGTCTCGAAAAGATGATGCACAGTGAAAAGCGACTCCGCTGATGTAAAAAGTGGATTTCAAGAGATTTATAGCCTAAAGGTTTCAATGAAATAAAATGCACAGAATGTGATGAAACGTAAACATACGTGTATATATCCATTAGAGGTCGTGAAAAATCAGTCACAGATTGAATGAACACCACAAACCCCTATTCGACCACCGAGAAATCTGATGTAGCGAGAAAAGCTTGAAAAATCTTTAGCTCCAGGCCTACACTTTATAGAATTGGGTCACAAAGTTGATTTCTATCATAATGAAATCATTCGAAAAATATTCCATATTAGAATTATTTCACATTAAATCAAATTCAAATAATATGCGTATAATGATGCATTAGGAATAATGACAATAATAATAATGATAATAATTTTCCTTATTCCAAAACAGTACTTGTGATACAGAATGGAATTCTCAGCATTTTTACTACAGTATTGCATCCAGTTAGTACATTAACAGTAAATAAAATTCTAAATAGATTAAGGAAATTTCAGTTCCTTATGACAACAACATATTGGCATGTCTGTAGCAAAGGTAAAGCTGAAACAGTGTTTGAAGGTGTTCGAAAAGTGGGAGCTGTCATATTTACTGGCGTAAGCGAGAGAAAGAAACAAAGCAGCACATAACGGAAAAAAAGAGATAGGGAGAAAAGGAAAAGAAAGAAAGAAAATGTTTTACCTATAAATGATATAAGTTGGAAAGACGAGATCCAGTTGTACTACTGACTATTTAATGAATTATAGGTGTCTCGCCTAATGCTTTCTTTATCGCCCAGAACACGAGCTAAGTAGGGTATGGTTGAGTTTTTGATCTAATTCCGAAACATGCTCTTCGTCAAGTGAGAAAATCAATGCAGACGTGACCAGGACTTTCATTATGTAAACATGCATTTCGTTTTTACAACTCAGGAGCAAAGAGGTAGAACTGATAGATTTATTTGATAGATGAATTGTTAGGTGAAAATACTTATTCCAGTGTGTACCAGAATTTTGTGATAAATTACTAAACTACTGATAATTTTCACAGTAGTAATCAAGTTGTTGGATAAGTGGATTGTGTTATGAGGATCACTTAGAGAGGAAGATTACATGTGGCAGATGAGTAGCAAGTCATATTGATGTCAGCAGCATCAACACCTATGTTGATAATGAACTCAGAATATACGGCAAATGAGTTAACTTTCATTCAACCTACTTGTTTTGGTGTGGATGAACATCTTTAGGAACAAATTTGTTGAAGGTGTTATTAAAAAGCAACCTGTCACTCCCAGTTATTTTCCACGTGAAAATTGATGAATAATGACACGTATCAATATACAGACCATCACTTATTCTGTGACACCTCCGTCCAGAGAAATTCACTCCTGGAGAGTGTTAATTATGCAGCAACATCATCTACTATACTTGATGTGAACTCAGAATGAAATGTGTAGTCTATGTAGAGTGTAGTCTTAATTTCAGGGCAGTCAAGGAGTTAAGAAATCATCCCTGTGTCCATATAGAATACTGGTAAGCCTTTTTAAATATCATGTTCACTGGTCTTCCTTTCATCCACTTCCGAATACACACGACTTCAATGATTCATTAGTTTACCACACTATTCTTAGTAATCAGTGTCGTCCGCCAACCTAATTGAAGTTCTTGATTTCTGATCATGTAATGGCAGAAATAATTGGTGTGAGATCAGGGCACGTGTAAGAAACAGCACAGAGGTTCCGTCACTACAATTTCATGTCTCGACTTATCATAGTTCTAGTAACAGTCTCCGTGTTAAAATAATTGCCCACTTGTACATTCAGTCATATTCAGTAACTTTGATATCTCTGCAAGCCAGAGTTCCCTTTACATAATTCTTTCTGGCTATCTGATGTTTAGTATGGAGCCAGTGAAGGTAGTAGTTCTGCAATATGATGGAAATCCTTTTCGTGACACACATTGCAAGATTGTGACCAATATAGAAAAACTGACTGGCAGTTGTTGATAAAGGTCTGCAACAGGCTGTTGGAAATATTCTTGGTGACCTGCCAAGTTCCTGATCCATATAGAAGAAGTGACTTGACGTTTGTATTGAAAATCCGAATCACTTTGTTGTTGATGCTGAGTTGAGTGAAGAAGATTTCCAGATTGGTTTCAGGTTGATGAATGTGTTTCTCGCCTTCACGATTCTCGAGTTGACATCCTCGTCCGTTCCTCCTGTAGTTGAGACAATGCTCCCTAGATAAGTGAATGAAGTAACCTGTTTCAAATCCCTCCCGTTGATGGTGATTGGTGCTGGATGTTGCTGCTGCTGTTGTTGTCGTTGGTTGGTTATTTTCATAACCTCCGTCTTGTCTATGTTCACTTGGAGTCCTGTCTTTGCTGCTTCTTCGACCAGTTTGTCAGTTTTCGCTTGTAAGTCTTCGATTTTGTGTGACATCAAACATAAATCATCCACGCGCGAAATCCAGGTCTTCCAGGTTCTTCATGTCGGTCCAGGATATTCCTGTCTCCTCGTTTCCCACAGTCTGACGCATAATCCAGTCCACCACAAATAAGAATATCATTGGTGATAATAAGCACCCTTGTCTGACTCCTGTGTTTACTCCAAACGCTTCGCTGAGTTTTCCATTGTGGATCACTTGACATGTGCCGTTGTCGTACGGCTGTTGATTAAGGTTGACGGATATTTGGGATACGCTGTAGTACTTGAGTTGTTTCCAAATTACTTCTCAGTGAACGCTGTCGAAGGCCTTCTCACAGCGTATATATTTGAGGTAGAGATTTGATTGCCATTCCATGCTTTGTTCGATGATGATGCGTAGAGTTGCAATTTGGTCGGAACATGATTTGCCTTTCCTGAATCCAGCTTGTTCTAGTCGGAGTTCTGTATCCAGTGCGTCCTTGATTCTCTCCAGGATGATGCGACTCAGGATTTTACTTGGCGTCGACAGAAGCATGATCCCTCGCCAGTTCTTGCAGAGTCCTAAGTCTCCCTTCTTGTGTAGTTTCTTGAGGTAACGTTTTCTTCAGTCAGTGGGAACATTTCCCTCCTTTCAGACCTTTTGCAATAATGGAGTCAGCATATCTGCTGTCGTTTCTGGGTCCGCTTTCAGTGCTTCCGGGGGTATTCCATCTGGTCCAGCTGCTTTTCCAGCTTTCAGAAGCTTGATTGCATTCAAGACTTCAGCTTTCGTTTGAGGATTGGTGTCAACTTGCAGTTGTGTACGTGCTGTTGTTGGTATTTCTGGACGGGTTGCAGGTGGTGGTCGATTCAAGAGTCCTTTGAAGTGGTCCGCCCATTGTTTAATCTGTCTTTCTTCCTTGGTAATTGGGTTCCCTTGGCTGTCTTTTATGGGTTTCACTTGTGTTGATCTCTTCCCGGATAGAGACTTGGTTATCTGATATAGTGTCCTCAGGTCCCTTTTGCCTTCTGCCTTCTCAGCTTCAGTAGCCAGGTTGTCGTAGAATTGTCTTTTGTCCTTCCTGGCACTCTTCTTCACTTCTTTGTCCAGTGCTGTGTAAGTTAAGTTCAGCGTCTCTTTCTCTTGTCCATCTTTGCATTGAATCACTTTCTCTTTCACCATTCTCCTCTCCTCTTTTAGCTTCCAAGTGTCCGTTGAGAGCCATTCCTTGTCTTGTTTCTTGTTTCTTCCTAAAACCGTTGAACACGTTTCGTTGAAAATCACCTTCAGAGAGTTCCAATGGTCTTCCACGGATGATTCCTCAGTGATACCGCGAAGTGTTTCCTGCTTTGCTCTGACAGTTGAGGTGAAAGTGTCCTTTGTGGATGTGTCTTTCAGTTTTCGAGTGTTGAACTTGCATTGTGGCCTATCCCCAGGTATCCTCGAGGCTTTTAGCTTCACCTTGAAAGCCCGTTGTACTAGGTAGTGGTCTGAACCCAAATCTGCTCCTCTCCCCGATCTTGTGTCCAGTAGGCTCATAAATGTGGACAATTATTTCAACCGATCATCTGAGAAAGAGATTAGTGCTTTTGGAAGTGACATCGATTGTTACTTGTTCGAGAATACGTAAATGTACTGCACGAAGTAGATAAGTGAAGTAAAATCTGGATTTCTGAATTAATTGACTCAAAGAATTCTCGTCTGAAATATCATTTACGAGAGATAAATACACCTCAGTTCCTCCGTTGAATGTTGTTTAGTTCTAAAGGCTTCTGTTTTTATCCTGGCATGGCATGAAGAAAATGAATTTCACTGTGATGTTATCCATCTACTAGATGTAATACCTGCTGATCTGAGACACAAAATACATCGTCTAACTGAATCTCTAAGTCAGTTGAAAGCATTTCGCTAATGTCATTAGAAATCCTATGAATTGATTAACAATTCATATTCTGTCAGTATAAATTAAGATACTTATTTCTTCTTACAAATTCACATGCATTCGTTCGGTCTGAAAACATACTGGATACTAATAAGCTTCAACACGATTCTACTTCATTTTCAGGAGAACATATTCATTGTTCAAGTTCTTCTTGGTGACAGACGATTCACACTCCAAAATGGTTAACACGTACTTTGTCGACTGATGATCGGCATGCTAATTATCTGGCTGCATTTGCTCGTTTCAACGGAGGCGGCTATCTTCCATGTATTATTAAATCAAACTGAGTACAAGCAAGCTCCTTCTCAATTAGCTTCATCTACGGATAGAGATCTGGAAATGTAATAAACATCTACATTACTAATTTAAATTTATTTATTGTACTACTTTTAAACATTCAATGAAAGTGAGGATATTTTTCCTTCTCAAGTATTGGCAATCAGTAAAAACTCCTCAGTTATCAATTTTAGATTGAAGGGTTGGGTAACAGTCGGTAAATACGAGAGCTGATTGCATTAAATTCCTGTCAATTACCTGTGACAGCTCGATATTAGTTCGTGAAACATCATGGGGGAGAGTCTGCCAACCATCCGCATAATCCAAAAAGTTATACAACAAACTGTGTTAAAACAAGCTATGAAATACTACATCTAAGCAGATGGATCTCAACTTACATTGTGTTCGACCAGTCTTCCTTATCAAGCAAAGGTATGCGTTGATGAAAGTATACTGCAGGCTGTTGGAAATGATTTTCGATGACACAGGCTCTAAATACAATAATAACCCTGCTTTTCACTGGAATCAGAACGATGAAATGAAGCAGGCTGGCAGAATCTACCGTGAAGACAGTCTTTCTTCGATGACACTACATATCTACATGACGTTACAAGGACAGAAGGCTGCCAATGTTGAAGGAGGAGTGACAAGATGCAGTACAGAATCACTGGGAATCTGTGAAAGCGGGTGATTCTAAGCAAAGCGAATTCGTTTTCAACTTACATATTAGGCCTAGATTTAAAGAGCAACTGAGCGATTTCGTTTTCAAAGAATAATGTGAAGGAAGATTGGTAACTCAAAATAGTCAATTAAAGCCACCTTCAAACATCATATCCACATGATACGCAAATGCAAGTTCCAATATTCTTCAAGTCGGTCCTCCATGAAGTCACAATTATTGAAATTTGAAAACCCCAACTAAATGTTGCTTAATAAATGACTCGTTCAAATCTCGTTATATTCCGTTAACATACTGCTGCGTTTGCAAACACCAAGCCCTATTACTATTCAGTGTGAATTTTTGTGAAATTCGTGTTGTTTGATTGAGGCAGAAGGAAACCTGACACTTAGTCTATCCTTATCAATATGCATCCTAAGGCTGTTTGTTGAAAAATGTTCTAAGGAACAATTTTACAAAATCTATTATAAGTCAGCCAGACATTTTCTGTGCCTAATAGGCTGATGGAGTGGCACACAACGATGTAGTGTATTTCCACTTTTCTAGATGATTTGCAGTTTTGAAACACAATAAGTAGGTATTCAGAAGTTGCTGCAGCCACTAAATTAAGTAATTTATTCAGTGAAATACCAATGTAGTTCTCCTCTAAACAGCCGATGGCTTCTTCAAATCACTGAGCCATCTAATCATCCTTGGAGCATAATTCTCGTGAACTACAAACGCTGTTATGGAAGGTATAAGTGAGTGAGAGAACACTTCGAACATTGATACTGACACAAATCAACAGATATGCGTTTCTTGAGTTCATTAACGAATTAATCACTACACATAAAATATGACAACCACCACAAGGCCAGTTGTTAGAATTCTTCTGAATCTTGTGTGATTACTATTCAAATATGAAATCATACCACAGAATCTAGTCAATTCTAATAAGGCAGAACACGTTGAAAATAAGGCGTAAATTTAGTTGAGTGTGAGAAGCGCTCTCTGGTTGTTGAAATATCAAATCGCTATTGAATATCTTTTGAAATTAAAAACTGCTAATGCTGTGAATAAAATACACACAATTCTTATGAATGAAACAATGAGTCCCGTTTGTGGTTTTTGATACTTCGGTTTCTTTGAAGATAATTCTCTCACCTCGTACTTTATCCTAAGGATTTAGTTATTCTATCAGTATTATTATCATAAAATAAATAAATAAATAATATTGTCTTCATAAAGCAGTTGAAATCGGTGTCAGAGAGTTATTTCTAGTGACAGGTGATAACTGTAGTGACGGTTCCCTATGGTTTCTTTCAGAGGAGAAAATTGTCTAAACCATAAGAAAATAATCTTCTGATTATCGTAAACCATATCAAAACGGACATCAGCAAGCCTGTGAGATACACACTTCAGTTCTGTAGAAATACACTGATGCGGGAATAAGGTAACTGACAACGACACGTGAGAATAACATTCATTTCGAACACAAGAGATTTATGATACAGGTTTAGACAAATTAATTACCATCGTATGTCAGATAAAATGGTTAACCAACATATTGCTTCTTAAACATCAATTTTCATCAAAAGACTATTTTAGGTATAGAATGAGTGGAAGTCTGACAGACATCAATAGATGATCTATTTCTATTTTACAAATAACACTCACTGGAAGTATCTGGCGTCATTCAGCGCTGAGGATAATTTGTACTGATAGTGAACACACTTGCATTTATTCATCACAGTTCTCATGTATGCGATTGAATATTCTCAGTCCACTTGATTGGGAATTACATTTTCCTGGTGTTGCAGGCTTTCACGGAATATAATAATTAGCACCACCTTGTTTAATTCATCACTGTTAAATCTGATGTATGCCAATGAAAACTAAAAAGTTTTCAGTAGATGGTTAATCATACAAGAATCGTTTTGGAATACTAAGGCTAATAAGGAAGCAGATGTTATCGAAAGAAGTATGCTTTATAATATAACATTTTACAGGTATTTAAGCGTTTTATTTCGATTAAGAAAATACTAGCAAAACTTACTGTCCAAGATTGTCAGAAAATGAAATCTCACGGACCTGCTTGATCTTAATTTTATGACACACCCGCATACATCTTCGACCAGTCGTGTCACTATCAGGAACACAACTCCATTGCTCATATAGAAAACCTTTAGGAAACTAAAATTTCTGACAAAGTCATGTAACTACTCTATCACGCCACTGACTAGAAACAGCCTAGAGAATTCGAATAAAGCAAGAAAATAGTGTTTTGTGTAGAATAATATGGTACCGTCATTTATTTCGTTGGCTTCTCACCAACTTTTTTCAGCGCAAATAAATTACACAGTTTGTTTGCAGAAAAATTTGAACATACTTGCAAATTTTACATGATATCAGTTGACAGAAGGTTCCACAATTAGTGAACAGCGCTCATAAAATTACGCTTATATAGTTTTTACTTAGGGAGTTCAAGTTGAGACACTGGCTTTTCGGCACATATTCAGATAATTGAAGATGTGCCATTCTTTCTGTTCTCCCAATGTAACTGCTCTCGGAGACATGTAAATTTCCATATACAGTTGGAGTTAACCTCTTACGCATCTCTCGTCTCTATTACATAACTCCTTTACCATTGTATGCATACATTACTTTGTTTAAACTTGAACTCCCTGTGTAAAACTATATGAGCGTAATTTTCTGAGCGCTGTTCACTTATTGTGGAACCTTCTGTAAACTGACATCATGTAAAATTTGCAAGTATGTTAAAATTTTTCCGTGCATAAACAGCATAATTTATTTACTATATTATTCTACACAAACCACTGTTGTTCTTGCTTTATTTAAATTCATCTAGGGGAATAAATGCATAAGGTTCTGACAAAGCATTAGATTAGGTAAAAAAATATGATTTCTTTTGAAATCACAATATGCTTAACTTCAATTAGACAAGTGCAGGGAGGTGATATCGTGAAAGAATTACTTAACAATGCTCAAAAACATTAAACATATAAACATACAACATTCGAAATGAATGAAGCTCATAGGCTTATGTTGTGTCTTTTATTTTCAGTTCAACGTTCAAATATACGAACAGATAAACACCAGTGGGATCACCTGTTTCACAAATAATTGTGACTTTACTACTTCTGATCTCGTGTGTTTTTGTTTCCGAATTCAACTGCATCAAGTTTATTTACTTTTGTTGTTCCTTAATCGGTATCAAAGTGCATGCTTAAATTTATCAACGTCTATTCCTTTGCTCATATAAATTAACTCAGAATGTTTTTCAAT